GTGGCCGCATCACTCCAGTCTCAGCCTCCATCTTTACATGGCTTCTCCTCTGTGTCTGTCTTCTCTTCTGTCTCCTATGAAGACACCTATCGTTGGATTTTGGGCCACCCTAATACAGAATGGTCTTACCTTAAATAATTACATCTGCAGAGACCCTATTTCCAAATAAGGTCCCATTCGGAGGTCTCCGTTGATATGAACATAGGGGACACTACTGAGCTCACTACAGCAGGTGAGGCAAGGCCGGCTGGCAGGTGTGGATTCAGATGCTGGTGATGGTGTGGAGACGCTGGTATGGACCAGGGGGCCAGGCTGGGCAGTCCGGAGGCCTTGGGCCCTAGAGCAGGAAGGCGGTCACAGTCCTGAGGGTCAGACCTCGCCCTGCTCGCAGGGTCACTCACAGGGTCATAGCTCTGCGTGGTGGACATGCCTGTGTCCAGAGTCACATCCTGCTGCTTCGGGGGACCGACTATGCGGACCTCTACGTGACCTCCGCAGCGCATGGCCTGAGCCCGGAGCAGCTGTCGCAGGAGCCCCAGGCCGGACACGTCTTCAACGTTTGATGAGGTCGTTTATACTCAGAGTCCCCAAGGTGGCTTTTGTGCCGCTTCTGCACAGGACAGGGGTGAGAGGTTGTCTTTCAACTCTGGGAAGTTCGGGTAGGGTGGGTGACATCCACAGACGGGCAGGGATTGTTTCTCAATCCACCCAGAAAACAAACATTTCCAACGCTTTACCCACCTCAGCGTCACATGAAAACTGTGTCTTTAATGTGCGGGTTCAGAAGTAGCTAGAAATGCTGTGACCTCGCCCTGCTAGTGACATGGTGCTTTGACAGCACCTGGACTGACCACAACATCTGCTCTGTCGACAGGTCACAGGTCTGGGGGTGAGAGGGGTCGCACCTCGACCCTACCCTGGCTGAGCGAGAGCTGCTTCCCGGGGCAGCCAGAGCCGCCGGACTCCGTGTCGAGGGACTGCGCCAAGGTCAGCCATCCGTGCACGACACAGCTGGTCCATGGTACGATAATAAAGGTGGCAGATCCTCACAGTCTTCCTGTCCTGTTTCAGGGATCGCACTCAGGGCAGGCGTGGGGTCTCTGTCCGCCTCNGGGGTGGAATTCAAAGGTCCCGAGCGGGTTCCGCGTCCTCCTCCTGCCTCGGCCACAGCCGCCTTCAGGCCCTGCCGTCCTTGCTGGGGCAGACGGGAAACCAGGAGAGCGCTCCGTACGGGGCGTCAAATGCCCACTTTTATGAGAACCTCAGGTGCACCACCTGCCTCGCGGCCGGAGACCCACAAGTCACCCACCTGGCCTAATGGGGCAGAGCCACAGGTGGGTCTGCAGGTGCCTGGAGCCCAGCACGGCTTCACCACGAAACGCCCTCTAGTTCCCACCACCGACGCCTCGGCAAGGGCCACAGGGGTGGGCTTGTGTCTGACTCCTGCACGATGCCTGCCCAGCCCAGCAGCCCGAGGCGTCCAGTACAGCAAAGAAACAAAA